TCCCCCTTTTTCCCCCCCATTTTCCCCAAAACCTTTTTTTTTTTTTCCCCCCCCCCAAAAATTCCCCCTTGTTTCTAACCCCCCCTTTTTCCCCCAAAAAAATTTTTCCCATTTTTAAAAAATTTTTTGGGGTTTCCCCCCCCCCTTTTTTTTTTTTTTTTCCCCCCAAAAAAATTTTTTCCCCCCTTTTCCCCCCCCCCCTTTTTTTTTCCCCCTAAAATTTTTTTCCCCCCTAAAAAAAACCCCCCCAACCCCAACCCCAAAAAAAAACCCCCCCCTTTCCCCCCCCCCAAAAAAATTTTAAACCCTTTTTTTTTTTCCCCAAATTTTTTTCCGTTTCCCCTTTTTTTTTTTTTTTTTCCCCCCCCCAAAAAAATCCACCAATCTCTGCAACTTTTTAAAACCCCAAAAAAAAAAAAAAGGGGGGAAAAAAAGGGGGGGGGGAAAAAAAAAAGGGGGGGCCCCCCCCCCAAAAAATTTTTCCCCCCCCTTTTTTTAAAAAAAAAAACCCCCCCCCCCCCAAATTTTTTTTTAAAAAAAAAAAATTTTTTTCCCCCCCCCCCCAAAAAAACCCCCCCAAAAAAAAAAAAACCCCCCAAAAAAAAACCTTTCCCCCAAAAAAAATTTTTTAATAAAATTTCCCCTTTTTTTTTTTTTAAAAAAATTTAAAAAAATTTTTAACCAAAAAAATTTTTTTTTTTCCCCCCAAAAAAAAAAAACCCCCCCCCCTTTTGGGGGGCCCCCGGGCCCCCCCCTTTTTTCCCCCCCCTTTTTTAAAAAAAACCCCCAAAAATTTCCCCGGGGAAAAAAAAAAAATTAAACCCCCAAAATTTTAAAAAAATTTTCCCCCAACCCCCAAAAAAAACCCCCCCCAAAAACCCCAAACCCTTTAAAAAACCCAAAAAAAAAAAAAAATTTTTTCCCCCCCCCCCCCCTTTTTTTTTTAAAAAAAAACCCCCCCCCCCTTTCCCCTTTTAATTTTGGGGAAAAAACCCCCCCCCCCCCCTTTAAAGGGGCCCCCCCCTTTTTTTTTAAAAAAATTTTTCTTTTTCCCCCCAAAAACCCCCCCCCCCCTTTTCCCTTTAAAAATTTTTTTTTAAACCCCCCCCAAAACCCCTTTGGGGGTTTTTTTTTTTGAAATTTCCCCCCAAAAAATTTTTTTTTCCAAAAAAAAACCCCCCCCATTTTTTGGGGCCCCTTTTTTCCCAAAAAAAAAAAAAAGCCCAAAAAACCCCAAAAAGGGGAAAAAACCCTCCCTTTTTTAAAAAAAATTTTCCCTTTTTAAAAATTTTTAAAAACCCCCCCCCCCCTTCCCAAAAAACCCGGGGGGAAAAAAAACCCCCTTTTTCCCCAAAAACCCCCCAAAAAAACCCCTTTTTCCCAAAAACCCCCCCCCCCCTTTTTTTTTTTTTTTTTTTTTTTTTTGGCCCCCAAAAAACCCCCCAAAAAAAAATTTTCCCCTTTCCCCAAACCCCCTTTTTTAAAAAAAAGGGAAAAAGGGGAAAAAAAAAAACAAACCAAAAAAAAGGCCAAAAATTTTTCCCCCTTTTTAAAAAAGGGGCCCCTTTTCCCCAAAAAATTTTTTTTTGGAAAAAAGGGGCCCCCCTTTTCCCCCCCCAAAAAAAAAAAACCCCCACCCCCACCCAAAACCCATCCCTTGGTTTTTTAAAAAACGAGGAACGGAACGTGTGACTGGGTGTTCTCCAGCGATACTGTTGAGCGTGGGCAGGAGTCCATCTTTCTATCTCTGGCTCACTGGTATCCCCCAGGGACTTCCTGCTCCTATTTAATTCGCGGACGTGCCGACGAAGTAGTCAGGATGTACTTTCCTTCCTTCCGTGTACGTCCCATTGAGGCTCCCATACGTCCGTATGACGGAGACTGCGGGGAGACACTCATCATATACGACTCTGATCGTGAAGATGACGCTCGTATTATGAAGATGTTTTGCGATACATTTTCTCGGCCACTGGAGAAACATGACTTCATATCATCAGGAAGTGCAATGTTCGTGAAGTTCGAGAGTCGTACAGGAAGTTACGATGGGTCTTCGCTGTACTACTGGGCGCAGTATGACTTCTTCAATAACACACACTATGGCAAGCCTGTGGAGGACACACTCTGTGATGAACTCTTCGAGTCTTTCGTGAGACCCGAGGGAAAGTTTGGGTCGCCCCTCAACACACTGCTCTACAAGACTGACGAAGACGTCCTCTGTCGGTATCATTTCAAAGCTCCACGCTATCAGTACCGCCGTATACTTCTTACTATTAATTCCACAAACTTTAAACATAATGATGACGACTGTATGGACTGCCTGAACGACAAAGTTGACAAACTGAAGATCATCGATCCATTCCGAAATGGCACCAATGTTTGCATTTGCGACAACTGGCTCGCAGGAAACCGTCTTCCCCCTAGTATTGTCTCTAATGGACCGTCTCTCACGCTAGAGATGCACGTGGATCACCGTCATGCCATGCAGAACTACTTCAAGTCAACCACACCAATTTTTGAGGGTACATACAAGTTCATCCACAGTCCTATCTGTGGCCCCACAGTCATTCCAGCTTCTACCGAGGGTAATATAATCTATCCAAAATATGAACCATACGTGTATGGTGGCTATGGAGAGGATGTTCACTGTATATGGGAGCTGAGAGTGAAACAGGACCGAGATGTGTGGCTCTATGTCGACCAGCTCGACTTCTCTTTAAATGATTGTTCGCTGGAAGTTATTGAAGTATTTTTACCAGGAAGGGACCGGCCTGAGTTTACCATCTGTGAGAAGGGAGACACAGTCGACGAGTCTAAGGCCAATATTCTTAAAGCTCGCGACCTGACAGAGGGCGCCATAATAATTCATTTTAAATCCTCAGCGCCAGGTCACTCCAACTTCAAGTTGACTTGGACGGAGTTATTCGAGATTCCTAAGAACAGTGATGGCACGGTCATGACCTCCAAACTGATGGCGCCCGGCGAGTGCGAATTCGTGTGTCCCGGTCAAGCTGCTTGTATCCATGATGATCTGGTATGTAATGGCGTCCGCAACTGTCCAGGAAACAGTTCTGGGGCCGCTCAACATGACGAGGCCCCAGAGATCTGTTTCTCTCGTACAGGTTCTAAGTTCAACTACGTGGCACTGGGGCTAGGTGCCGCGGGTGGCACTGTAGTAGCCGTGGCTGTCATTATTCTCGTTTGCCGCAACTGTCGCAAGCGCCCTGACGATAACACCTTCTAAGTGAACTATGCAAAGCTTGGAATCTACAACACAACTGCCAGAGACAATCTGGGAGACCGAGATCCCAGACACACGATTACTGAACGTGTGCGTGTGAGAGAACATAAAGTCTACGGGAAACACAGACTGCACAAGTTCACAAATCTTGTAGTTAAACCCCCCAATACATTTTATGGTGAGAGTTGAGTGTCAAGCTGGGAACGTGTAGTGAAAGACTGAGATCAGTGTTGATCAGTTTGCTTCCATAATGAGTAACACAGAAGAATGAGGCCTTTGACGTCTCCTCAGTGACTAGCTGAACACAGCAGTACAGTTATTAATGGTAATCATCGAGTAGACACTACAGGACCAAGTGTGTGTGTGTGCGTTAAAATTATTACGGTCGTCTTGACATAATGGGTTCAGATTCCAGTAAAATGTTACATAAACTGAATTAGTTTTCATACTAGAGGTTTCAAATAACATGTATTGTTTTCTTTCATGCTAGTAGATCTCATTTAAAAATGAACATAAATCAAATTTTGATTCAGTACAAACATGCGCACTAAGGAGCAGCAACAGCAGCACCACCACCACGGAGCAGCAACAGCAGCACCACCACGGAGCAGCAGCAGCAGCACCACCACCACCACGGAGCAGCAGCAGCATCACCACCACGGAGCAGCAGCAGCAGCACCACCACCACGGAGCAGCAGCAGCATCACCACCACCACGGAGCAGCAGCAGCAGCACCACCACCACGGAGCAGCAGCAGCAGCACCACCACCACGGAGCAGCAGCAACAGCATCACGGAGCAGCAGCATCACGGAACAGCAGCATCACGGAGCAGCAGCATCACAGAAACTCTTACTTTCATCTCCTAACATCTCCAATGTTTAATGAACAATTATTTCTATAATGTTAGTTTCCTGTTTCTTAGAGAAATTAGCATAAATTTTATATTAAACTGTTGATAAGTTTGTTTCTGCTTCACGTAAAATTATCTAGCGAGACGCGCTAAACCCACAGGGGTTATTCAATGCCAGGGGTATGGGAGACAATGGCACACATTCAAGGAATTGAATGACATCTCCAGTTTTCTGGATCAAGAACCAGGCAATAGCACTGAGGAGCTCCCTTCAGGGACACACTAACAAGATTTGAATATTTTTGTATTTGTGTTGTAAGTCAACTTTATAGAAAGAAAATGATGTATATTCAGTATTATAATAATCAAGGTAAGCGCTAAACTCGACAAAGTTAGGAAGCGTTCTATGTTCAGTGGTCAGTCTGAAGTCTTCCTAACCCTGCAGCTGCGTAATACATCCTCCAAATGTGTCAAACTGGCTACCAGCAGAGGAATCCTCTTGTTCAATCAGAGTAATGTTACAACCATCCTACTTTACCTTTCGTGTTCGAAATATTTATAGATGTGAGTGATGAGAGTCGTGATCATTTTAAAGTCGGACGTGACATCGTTGACTCCACAACCAGAGATAATATAGACACTGCTTACATTACCTCACTCAAAGTTCTCCACTTTCACAAAGTTAACATTGCGGCAGCAACCAATACTTAAAATTCGTATAAAACAATTAGGCTACAGTTGTACTGTACTTACTGAAACATACACATTATTATGTACCTGGAGAAGGCTTCGGGAATCAACGCCCCCGCGGCCCGGTCTGTGCCAAGGCCTAATATTAATGTGATATTAACCATCTGAGACATGTTATAACATCATTGCCACGTAATTTAGTCACTGGTGAGGTGGTGTCGGCCGCACCAGTCACCTTCCCGCACGTTGAGACAAAAATAAAATAATCCCATCAAAGTCTTTTAAACCAAAACAAAAATGCACTGCCAGAAACATTGTTATCTTATACAGTTCTCTGTCGTCTCAGAAATTATACGAAGCAGGAGAGAAGAAGACAGACGATGCCAGGGAGCGTCACGAGTACTGATGCAGGGGCGTCAAGAGTACTAACTGATGCAGGGGCGTCAAGAGTACTAACTGATGCAGGACTGAAGCTCTCTGCTCTAGCTAACGTCTTTTGTATATAGATAATATTTATACAAGTTTAGCGACCATTGTTGTAATTTTCCAGACGTCTACTCACGTCAGGAACCTTCGTAGGATCTTCATTCCAGGAACTGGAAGTTACAGCAGCTAAAAAAAAAAAAAACTTTTTTTTAGGTATGCGCTCAAATGCCATTCTTGTTTTTCGATAGTGAATGTAGAGGTGCCGTAAATAATGGAGATATATCGTGAATAATGTAGATAAACCCCTTAATAATGTAGATACACACTAACTCCTTTCTTTTATACATCACTGTGGTCTTTTGAGTAATAAGAACAAGTTGCTAACTGGAGATATATGTTGAGAGAGAACATGCAGTTTACGGCATTTTATTGAGAGGAGAGTTTCGCCCACCAGGAGATCTGGTCAAGTCCTTGGTGGGCAAAACGTCTATAATAGTATTATATAAACAGTATTTTATGTCGTTAAATTAATTGCCGGTATATTGTATTACTGATATACACGAATGAAGTTTACCAGGTTGGGACCTAGTTATGACCTGGCTAGGACCTGCTCATGACCTGATCAGAACCTGTACTAAACCATTTCTTACTACTGCTACTACCTCCTCTTCCAATCAGTCCTAACTACTATTGTCCCCCATGGCAGGATAGTTCACCAGGTTCATTACGAGTCTGACAATGAGTCCTCAGCTACGATTTCTGTACAATGATCATTGTACTCGCCGGTATAATGTCAGGAACATGGTGTGGTAGCCTGGCCTCTCCTCCACCAGCATTAACATTGTTGTTATTACAACACTGAACCAGTCGTGCAGTGCTTGGGGAAAGGGAAGGAACCTGGGTTTGATTCAAGGCACTGGTGCCCCTTTTAAGCCGTAACCTAACAATTTAAAAACTACACAAATAATTTAGAAGCTAATGTGTTTATTGTCTATTATTATTAATCTCTTACAGAGCTTTACTTTTCATTTTTTAGAAAAATTTAAAAACACATATAAAAAATTAGACAGCATGAGCCATGGTTTTTTCCCGGCGCAAATTTTGTTCTTTTTTCAAACACAGTCACAAAAATTCTCTCTACACAGAAGCCTTGCGGGAGGACTGACTGAAGACCAGGAGCTAGAGCCGTGATGTGAAAGAAATATTGTAAATATTTGTATCCCAGCATTTTCTTAATACTATTGGATTTGTTCAAGTAGGTGCTGGGGTAGGCTGGTGTGGGGTAGGCTGGTGTGGGGTAGGCTGTTGTGGGGTAGGCTGGTGTGGGGTAGGCTGGTGTGGGGTAGGCTGGTAGGCTGGTGTGGGGTAATCTGGTGTGGGGTAGGCTGGTGTGGGGAAGGCTGGAAGGCTGGTGTGGAGTAGGCTGGTATGTAGTAGGCTGGTGTGGGGTAGGCTGGTGTGGGGTAGGCTGGTGTGAGGTAGGCTGGTGTGGGGTAGGCTGGTAGGCTGGTGTGGAGTAAGGCTGGTGTGATAGGCTGGTAGTGGGTAGGCTGGTGGGGGTAGTCTGATGTGGAGGTAGGCGGTGTGGGGTAGGCTGGAAGGCTGGGTGGGTAGCTGGTAGGCTGGTGTGGGGTAGGCTGGTGTGGGGTAGGCTGATGTGGGGTAGGCTGGCGTGAGGTAGGCTGGTGTGGGTAGGCTGGTGAGGGTAGGCTGGCGTGGGGTAGGCTGGTGTGGGGTAGGCTGGTGGGCTGGTGTGGGGTAGGCTGGTGTAGGGTAGGCTGGCGTGGGGTACGCTGGTAGGCTGGTGGGCTGGTGTGGTAGGCTTATAGGCTGGTGTGGGGTAGGCTGGTGTGGGGTAGGCTGGGTAGGCTGGTGTGGAGTAGGCTGGTATGGGTAGGCTGGTGTGGGGTAGGCTGGTGTGGGTAGGCTGGTGTGGGGGTAGGCTGGTATGGGGTAGCTGGTGTAGGGGTAGGCTGGTGTGGGGTAGGCTGGTTTGGGCTGGTGTGGGGTTAGGCTGGTGTGGGTAGGCTGGGTGGGGTAGCGCTGGTAGGCTGTGGCTGGTGTGGTAGGCTTTTAGGCTGGGTGGGGTAGGCTGGTGTGGGGTAGGCTGGGTGGGAGTGTGGAGTAGGCTGGTGTGGAGTATGGCTGGTGTGGGGTAGGCTGGTTTTGGGGGTAGGCTGGTGTGGGGTAGGGCTGGTTATGGTAGGCTGGTGTGGGGTAGGCTGGTGTGGGGTAGGCTGGTATGGGGTAGGCTGGTGTGGGGTAGGCTGGTATGGAGTAGGCTTGGGGTGGGGATAGGCTGGTGTGGGGTAGGCTGGTATGGAGTAGGTCTGGTGTGGGGTAGGCTGGTGTGGGTTAGGCTGGTATGGAGTAGGTCTGGTGTGGGTAGGCTGGTGTGGGGTAGGTGGTAGGCTGGTGTGGGGTAGGCTGGTATGGCGGTAGGCTGGTGTGGGTAGGCTGGTAGGCTGGTGTGGGGTAGGCTGGTATGGAGTAGGCTGGTGTGGGGGTTAGGCTGGTGTGGGGTTGGCTGGTTGGAGTGGGCTGGTGTGGGGTAGGCTGGGGTGTGGGGTAGGCTGGTGTGGGGTAGGCTGGTTGGAGTAGGCGGTGGTGTGAGTTAGGCTGGTGTGGGTAGGCTGGTAGGCTGGTGTGGGGTAGGCTGGTAGGCTGGTGTGTGGGGTAGGCTGGTAGGCTGGTGTGGGGTAGACTGGTGTGGGGTAGGCTGGTATGGAGTAGGCTGGTGTGGGGTAGGCTGGTGTGGGGTAGGCTGGTATGGAGTAGGCTGGTGTGGGTAGGCTGGTGTGGGGTAGGCTGGTAGGCTGGTGTGGGGTAGGCTGGTAGGCTGGTGTGGGGTAGGCTGGTAGGCTGGTGTGGGGTAGGCTGGTAGGCTGGTGTGGGGTAGGCTGGTAGGCTGGTGTGGGGTAGGCTGGTAGGCTGGTAGGCTGGTAACCTATACATTGTGTCAAACTATGATAAATTTTAGAAATTATATTATAGTTTCGTAAATTTGTGGATTTTATTACCCTCAGGTGGAAGATACATAAAGATATATATTATTGTGCCCACGAACAGTGGTATTGATCAATAACAACACTGCGACTAGCCAATGACTCGAACCCATGCTGCTTTGGATTAAGGCGTCCCTGAGTTTTCGCCCACCATGAGGTAGGCCAAAGCAGCATGGGTTAGAGTCCTTGGCTAGTCGCAGTGTTGAAAATATATATACAATATATATATATATATATTATATATATATATATAAAATATATATATATATATAATATATCTAAAATATATATATATATATATATATATATATATATAATATATATATATATATATATATAATTTGTTCGGAGTAATCCTCTCAACATTAAAAACATTTATTCTTCACTGACTTGTCAGCAAGGATAAAATTCTGTCTAAATAAAATTGAATTTGTTATTCTTAAAACATGAGTTAGTTATTTCACTGCTGGTTCTGGGTGGACAGTCACTGTCATCAACTAAGCTCTTCTTCAGTATCAACTTGCTACAAATGTTACGCCAGACCTTCCAACTGTGTACAAGGCAGACGAGCCGAGTGAAGGTCCTTCACATGGATGTCAAAATGGTAAGTTCTCCAGTGCTTCAAGTGTGACAGTTTTGGCTGAACACAAATCACAGTTATTGTTTTCCAGACAGGAAGTGTCTTTCAGCCCTCACAATTAAGTCACTTTCCCAAGGGTTGTAATATAAACTTTTTTTTAATAATTATTTCTTACAGTGTGTTCACCTCCACACTGAACATTGAATATGCTGCGTTTGTGTCTATAATGAACACACCTTCGCCTGAACACTTGTTTCTTTTACCGGCCAAGTTCATCACTCTCACCAGAAGAGGCCGTAAACGGAGTTGTTAGCGTGAATTTCCTTCTTGGTGGCCGGTGGTTGTATACGCTGGCTGTCACTCATGGTAGCCAGGTCATGGTGGGAACTAAGCCATGCTGCTGTCTTGTCAGTAGTGACACCATTCGACAGCATATATCCGAACTGTTGACCTTGCTGTTCCGTGACAGATGCAACACCATCTATCGCACTCTGCATGTCTTCATCACTCTTGAAGGTGCTGCTCGAAGCAACACTGCAAAGCACCAGAGGCTACAATTAATATGCCGTTTTAAAAGTGCATTTTAAACTTATGAGAAATTATTATTTGAACAATTATGAAAGTTAGCAATTATATGAGCGATAATCAATGATTATACACTATCACATTATCAGTAATGATTATATAAACAAGGGGCGGGTGCTCGAGGAGAAAGGGAAAGATTAGTGGAATGATGAGGTGAAGGTGGAGTGAGAGAAGAAGCCAGCATATGAGATATTTTTATAATTTAGCAAATGAAAACCAGTAAGAATGAGAGAGGTTTTAGAAAACATTTCTGAACATCAAGTTTTGGAATGAGGTTAATAAACTAAAAACATATGAAACAAATGGATTTATCATTTAAAAGCTAAATGGAGAACTTAGATGGGTGGTGGAGATATCGGGAAGACTGAGGGAATATTGTGAGCATTTATTAAATGTTAAAGGGAGGCAGCAATTTCATGCATTGGGCAGGGAGGTATAACATCTCGTAGGAGTGAGGCAGAGAGAAATGAGAGTGAAATGAGGCATTGGGTAGAATAAAAGGGAAATAAAACAGGGATAGATGTGATCAAGACTCATGTTAAAAGCAGGTTGGAGTAATTTTGAGAGCTTAGTGCAGGTGTTTAATAAGTGCATGACAGGAAAGGCCTCGTATGGACTGGCAGAGAGCGTGCATAGTTCCTTTTTATAAGAGAATAAAAGCTTAACAAGTATAGGGGAATAAGCCTGTTGATTATACCTAGTAAAGATCATGGTATACAAAAGGATATTAAAAGTAAGATAGGAAAGAGCAGGTTTAAAAAAGTAGATAAAAAACCTAGACAATGATAACATTAGAACTCAGGTTTAAGGGAGGAAGTAAACCAGTTCAGTGATGGTTGATGTTACCTTGTTCTATACGTGGTTTAAACTCTCTTCTTGGTAACAAACAAACCACTACTGCTGCTACAACTTACATTTACCTGGAAATCATCAGGCAGACACTTTTCTACGAACTTTAAAGAAAGTTCTCTTGTAAAATTAGATATTAAAATTAGAGTTTTAAATATTCTAATAACGAAATGTCTATTTCCTAAACTGTCAATATCTGTATATTGTTCTAACACATAACATGAATATTGACATTATAACACTACACAAAGAGGTCACCCCTATGGTTTTAGTGCTCACCTCTAAATACAATAATAAGAGGTGTTGACTGAATGTTAAAATTAACGACTACAAGACTGTATAACAAACTTGGTTAACTTAAACAGTGTAATCTATACATCACTCCAACACTGACCCGTGAGAACACCTGTACACTGACCCGTGAGAACACCTGTACACTGACCCGTGAGAACACCTGTACACTGACCCGTGAGAACACCTGTACACTGACCCGTGAGAACACCGTACACTGACCCGTGAGAACACCTGTACACTGACCCGTGAGAACACCTGTACACTGACCCGTGAGAACACCTGTACACTGACCCGTGAGAACACCTGTACACTGACCCGTGAGAACACCCGTACACTGACCCTTGAGAACACCTGTACACTGACCCGTGAAAACACCTGTACACTGACCCGTGAGAACACCTGTACACTGACCCGTGAGAACACCGTACACTGACCCGTGAGAACACCCGTACACTGACCCGTGAGAACACCTGTACACTGACCCGTGAGAACACCTGTACACTGACCCGTGAGACACCCGTACACTGACCCGTGAGAACACCTGTACACTGACCCGTGAGAACACCGTACACTGACCCGTGAGAACACCGTACACTGACCCGTGAGAACACCCGTACACTGACCCGTGAGAACACCTGTACACTGACCCGTGAGAACACCTGTACACTGACCCGTGAGAACACCTGTACACTGACCCGTGAGAACACCTGTACACTGACCCGTGAGAACACCTGTACACTGACCCGTGAGAACACCCGTACACTGACCCGTGAGAACACCCGTACACTGACCCGTGAGAACACCTGTACACTGACCCGTGAGAACACCTGTACACTGACCCGTGAGAACACCCGTACACTGACCCTTGAGAACACCTGTACACTGACCCGTGAGAACACCTGTACACTGACCCGTGAGAACACCTGTACACTGACCCGTGAGAACACCGTACACTGACCCTGAGAACACCCGTACACTGACCCGTGAGAACACCTGTACACTGACCCGTGAGAACACTGTACACTGACCGTGAGAACACCCGTACACTGACCCGTGAGAACCACCTGTCACTGACCCGTGAGAACACCTGTACACTGACCCGTGAGAACACCTGTACACTGACCCGTGAGAACACCTGTACACTGACCCGTGAGAACACCCGTACACTGACCCGTGAGAACACCTGTACACTGACCCGTGAGAACACCTGTACACTGACCCGTGAGAACACCCGTACACTGACCGTGAGAACACCTGTACACTGACCCGTGAGAACACCTGTACACTGACCCGTGAGAACACCTGTACACTGACCCGTGAGAACACCCGTAACACTGACCCGTGAGAACACCTGTACACTGACCCGTGAGAACACCTGTACACTGACCCGTGAGAACACCTGTACACTGACCCGTGAGAACACCCCGTACACTGACCCGTGAGAACACCTGTACACTGACCCGTGAGAACACCTGTACACTGACCCGTGAGAACACCTGTACACTGACCCGTGAGAACACCTGTACACTGACCCGTGAGAACACCCGTGCACTGACCCGTGAGAACACCCGTACACTGACCCGTGAGAACACCCGTACACTGACCCGTGAGAACACCCGTACACTGACCCGTGAGAACACCTGTACACTGACCCGTGAGAACACCTGTACACTGACCCGTGAGAACACCTGTAACACTGACCCGTGAGAACACCTCGTACACTGACCCGTAGAACACCTGTACACTGACCCGTGAGAACACCTGTACACTGACCCGTGAGAACACCCGTACACTGACCCGTGAGAACACCCGTACACTGACCCGTGAGAACACCCGTACACTGACCCGTGAGAACACCTGTACACTGACCCGTGAGAACACCCGTACACTGACCCGTGAGAACACCTGTACACTGACCCTTGAGAACACCCGTACACTGACCCTTGAGAACACCCGTACACTGGACCCGTGGAGAACACCCGTACACTGACCCGTGAGAACACCTGTACACTGACCCGTGAGAACACCCGTACACTGACCCGTGAGAACACCTGTACACTGACCCGTGAGAACACCCGTACACTGACCCTTGAGAACACCCGTACACTGACCCGTGAGAACACCTGTACACTGACCCTTGAGAACACCCGTACACTGACCCTTGAGAACACCCGTACACTGACCCGTGAGAACACCCGTACACTGACCCGTGAGAACACCCGTACACTGACCCGTGAGAACACCCGTACACTGACCCGTGAGAACACCCGTACACTGACCCTTGAGAACACCCGTACACATGACCCGTGAGAACACCCGTACACTGACCCGTGAGAACACCCGTACACTGACCCGTGATAACACCCGTACACTGACCCGTGAGAACACCCGTACACTGACCCTTGAGAACACCCGTACACTGACCCGTGAGAACACCTGTACACTGACCCTTGAGAACACCCGTACACTGACCCTTGAGAACACCCGTACACTGACCCGTGAGAACACCCGTACACTGACCCGTGAGAACACCCGTACACTGACCCGTGAGAACACCCGTACACTGACCCGTGAGAACACCCGTACACTGACCCTTGAGAACACCCGTACACTGACCCGTGAGAACACCTGTACACTGACCCTGAGAACACCCGTACACTGACCCTTGAGAAACACCCGTACACTGACCCGTGAGAACACCTGTACCCTGACCCTTGAGAACACCCGTACACTGACCCTTGAGAACACCCGTACACTGACCCGTGAGAACACCAGTACACTGACCCTGAGAACACCCGTACACTGACCGTGAGAGAACACCCGTATACACTGACCCGTGAGAACACCCGTACACTGACCCGTGAGAACACCCGTACACTGACCCGTGAGAACACCCGTACACTGACCCTTGAGAACACCCGTACACTGACCCGTGAGAACACCTGTACACTGACCCTTGAGAACACCCGTACACTGACCCTTGAGAACACCCGTACACTGACCCGTGAGAACACCCGTACACTGACCCTTGAGAACACCCCTCACTGACCGTGAGACACCCGATACACTGCACCCGTGAGGAACACCCGTACACTGACCCTTGAGAACACCCGTACACTGACCCGTGAGAACACCTGTACACTGACCCTTGAGAACAACCCGTACACTGACCCTTGAGAACACCCGTACACTGACCCGTGAGAACACCCGTACACTGACCCTTGAGAACACCCGTACACTGACCCGTGAGAACACCCGTACACTGACCCGTGAGAACACCAGTACACTGACCCTTGAGAACACCCGTACACTGACCCGTGAGAACACCCGTACACTGACCCTTGAGAACACCCGTACACTGACCCGTGAGAACACCCGTACACTGACCCGTGAGAACACCAGTACACTGACCCTTGAGAACACCCGTAACACTGACCGTGAGAACACCTGTACACTGACCCTTGAGAACACCTGTACACTGACCGTGAGAGAACACCTGTACACTGACACCGTGAGAACACCGTACAACTGACCGTGAGAACACCAGTACACTGACCCTTGAGAACACCCGTACACTGACCCGTGAGAACACCCGTACACTGACCCGTGAGAACACCAGTACACTGACCCGTGAGAACACCCGTACACTGACCCGTGAGAACACCCGTACACTGACCCGTGAGAACACCCGTACACTGACCCGTGAGAACACCCGTACACTGACCCGTGAGAACACCTGTACACTGACCCGTGAGAACACCTGTACACTGACCCTTGAGAACACCTGAAAAAACACTGACCGTGAGAACACCTGTACACTGACCGAGAACACCCGTACACTGACCCGTGAGAACACCAGTACACTGACCCTTGAGAACACCCGTACACTGACCCGTGAGAACAACCCGTACACTGACCCGTGAGAACACCAGTACACTGACCGTGAGAACACCCGTACACTGACCGTGAGAAACACACCGTACACTGACCCGTGAGAACACCCGTACACTGACCCGTGAGAACACCCGTACACTGACCCGTGAGAACACCTGTACATGACCCGTGAGAACACCTGTACACTGACCCGTGAGAAACACACCGTACACTGACCGTGAGAACACCTGTACACTGACCCGTGAGAACACCCGTACACTGACCGTGAGAACACCTGTACACTGACCTTGAGAACACCTGTACACTGACCCGTGAAAAAACACCTGTACACTGACCCGTGAGAAACACCTGTACACTGACCGTGAGAACAACCTGTACACTGACCCGTGAGAACACCGTCACTGACCCGTGAGAACACTGTACACTGACCCTTGAGAACACCCGTACACTGACCCGTGAGAACACCCGTACACTGACCCTTGAGAACACCCGTACACTGACCGTGAGACACCTGTACACTGACCCGTGAGAACACCCGTACACTGACCCTTGAGAACACCGTACACTGACCCGTGAGAACACCCGTACACTGACCCTTGAGAACACCCGTACACTGACCCGTGAGAACACCCGTACACTGACCCGTGAGAACACACCGTACACGACCCGTGAGAAACCCCGTACACTGACCGTGAGAACACCTGTACACTGACCCGTGAGAACACCCTACACTGACCCGTGAGAACACCCGTACACTGACCCTGAGAACCACCCGTACACTGACCCTGAGAACACCCGTACACTGACCCGTGAGAACACCTGTACACTGACCCGTGAGAACACCCGTACACTGACCCGTGAGAACACCCGTACACTGACCCTTGAGAACACCTGTACACTGACCCGTGAGAACACCCGTACACTGACCCGTGAGAACACCCGTACACTGGACCCTGAGAAACCTGTACACTGACCCGTGAGAACACCCTACACTGACCCGTGAGAACACCTGTACACTGACCCTTGAGAACACCCGTACAGTGACCCGTGAGAACACCTGTACACTGACCCGTGAGAACACCTGTACACTGACCCTTGAGAACACCCGTACACTGACCCGTGAGAACACCCGTACACTGACCCTTGAGAACACCCGTACACTGACCCGTGAGAACACCTGTACATGACCCGTGAGAACACCTGTACACTGACCCTGAGAACACCCGTACACTGACCACGTGAGAACACCTGTACACTGACCGTGAGAACACCCGTACACTGACCCGTGAGAAACACCTGTACACTGACCCGTGAGAAACACCTGTACACTGACCCGTGAGAAACACCTGTACACTGACCCTTGAGAAACACCTGTACACTGACCCTTGAGAAACAAAACCCGTACACTGACCCTTGAGAACACCCGTACACTGACCCTTGAGAACACCCGTAACACTGACCCGTGAGAACACCTGTACACTGACCCTTGAGAACACCCGTACACTGACCCTGAGACACCCGTACACTGACCCGTGAGAACACCTGTACACCTGACCCTTGAGAAACACCCGTACACTGACCCGTGAGAACACCTGTACACTGACCCTTGAGAACACCTGTACACTGACCCGTGAGAACACCTGTACACTGACCTGAGAACACCTTATACAACTGACCCGTGAGAACACCTGTACACATGAACACTTGAGAACACCCGTACACTGACCGTGAGAACACCCGTGCACTGACCCGTGAGAACACCCGTACACTGACCCGTGAGAACACCGTACACTGACCCGTGAGAACACCCGTACACTGACCCGTGAGAACACCCGTACACTGACCCGTGAGAACACCCGTACACTGACCCGTGAGAACACCTGTACACTGACCCGTGAGAACACCTGTACACTGACCCGTGAGAACACCGTACACTGACCCGTGAGAACACCCGTACACGAACCCGTGAGAACACCCGTGCACTGACCCGTGAGAACACCTGTACACTGACCCGTGAGAACACCCGTACACTGACCCGTGAGAATACCCGTACACTGACCCGTGAGAACACCCGTACACTGACCCTTGAGAACACCCTACACTGACCGTGAGAACACCTTACACTGACCCGTGAGAACACCCGTACACTGACCCATGAGAATACCCGTACACTGACCCTGAGAACACTCGTACACTGACCCGTGAGAACACCCGTACACTGACCTTGAGAACACCCTACACTGACCCGTGAGAACACCCGTACACTGACCCTTAGAACACCCGTACACTGACCCTTGAGAACACCCGTACACTGACCCGTGAGAACACCCGTACACTGACCCGTGAGAACACCCGTACACTGACCCGTGAGAACACCCGTACACTGACCCTTGAGAACACCCGTACACTGACCCGTGAGAACACCCGTACACTGACCCTTGAGAACACCTGTACACTGACCCGTGAGAACACCCGTACACTGACCCGTGAGAACAACCGTACACTGACCCGTGAGAACACCCGTACACTGACCCTTGAGAACACCTGTACACTGACCCGTGAGAACACCCGTACACTGACCCTTGAGAACACCCGTACACCGACCCTTGAGAACAACCGTACACTGACCCGTGAGAACACCAGTACACTGACCCGTGAGAACACCCGTACACTGACCCGTGAGAACACACGTACACCGACCCTTGAGAACACCTGTACACTGACCCGTGAGAACACCCGTACACTGACCCTTGAGAACACCCGTACACTGACCCTTAAGAACACCCGTACACTGACCCTTGAGAACACCTGTGCACTGACCCGTGAGAACACCCGTACACTGACCCGTGAGAACACCCGTACACTGACCCGTGAGAACACCTGTACACTGACCCGTGAGAACACCCGTACACTGACCCGTGAGAACACCCGTACACTGACCCGTGAGAACACCCGTACACTGACCCGTGAGAACACCCGTACACTGACCCGTAAGAACACCCGTACACTGACCCGTGAGAACACCTGTACACTGACCCTTGAGAACACCCGTACACTGACCCTTGAGAACACCCGTACACTGACCCTTGAGAACACCCGTACACTGACCCTTGAGAACACCCGTACACTGACCCGTGAGAACACCCGTACACTGGCCCGTGAGAACACCCGTACACTGACCCTTCAGAACACCCGTACACTGACCCTTCAGAACACCCGTACACTGACCCTTCAGAACACCCGTACACTGACCCGTGAGAACACCCGTACACTGACCCGTGAGAACACCCGTACACTGACCCGTGAGAACACCCGTACACAGACCCTTGAGAACACCCGTACACAGACCCATGAGAACACCAGTACACTGACCCTTGAGAACACCCGTACACTGACCCGCTGACCCGTGAGAACACCCGTACACTGACCCGTGAGAACACCCGTACACTGACCCGTGAGAACACCCGTACACTGACCCGTGAGAACACCTGTACACTGACCCGTGAGAACACCCGTACACTGACCCTTGAGAACACCCGTACACTGACCCGTGAGAACACCCGTACACTGACCCGTGAGAACACCCGTACACTGACCCGTGAGAACACCTATACACTGACCCGTGAGAACACCTGTACACTGACCCGTGAGAACACCTGTACACTGACCCTTGAGAACACCCGTACACTGACCCTTGAGAACACCCGTACACTGACCCCTGAGAACACCCGTACACTGACCCTTGAGAACACCCGTACACTGACCCCTGAGAACACCCGTACACTGACCCTTGAGAACACCCGTACACTGACCCGTGAGAACACCCGTACACTGACCCGTGAGAACACATGTACACTGACCCTTGAGAACACCCGTACACTGACCCATGAGAACACCCGTACACTGACCCTTGAGAACACCCGTACACTGACCCTTGAGAACACCCGTACACTGACCCTTGAGAACACCCGTACACTGACCCTTGAGAACACCCGTACACTGACCCGTGAGAACACCCGTACACTGACCCTTGAGAACACCCGTACACTGACCCTTGAGAACACCCGTACACTGACCCGTGAAAACACCCGTACACTGACCCTTGAGAACACCCGTACACTGACCCGTGAGAACACCCGTACACTGACCCTTGAGAACACCCATACACTGACCCTTGAGAACACCCGTACACTGGCCCTTGAGAACACCCGTACACTGGCCCTTGAGAACACCCGTACACTGACCCGCGAGAACACCCGTACACTGACCCGCGAGAACACCCGTACACTGACCCGCGAGAACACCCGTACACTGACCCTTGAGAACACCCGTACACTGACCCGTGAGAACACCCGTACACTGACCCGTGAGAACACCCGTACACTGACCCTTGAGAACACCCGTACACTGACCCTTGAGAACACCCGTACACTGACCCGTGAGAACACCCGTGCACTGACCCTTGAGAACACCCGTACACTGACCCTTGAGAACACCCGTACACTGACCCGTGAGAACACCCGTGCACTGACCCTTGAGAACACCCGTACACTGACCCTTGAGAACACCCGTACACTGACCCGTGAGAACACCCGTGCACTGACCCTTGAGAACACCCGTACACTGACCCTTGAGAACACCCGTACACTGACCCCAGGTCTATCACACTGACCTGTAGCACTGCGGGTCAGCCTCCTCCACGCTATGACACTCCACATTCGACCCCTCCACACTGTGCATGTCAGCCTCCAGGTCATCATTAATGGTCTGGCAGGACACAGTGCGAGCCCGGGACCCTGCAAGGATTGTTCAATATCGGTGATGCTTTAAACACAATGTATTGCAGACAGTAATGAGAAAAACATATCCAGAACAAGTCTGGCGTAACAATGTAAAGCTCTGGGCAGAGTTTTAGTCATCACTAGATAAAGTTGTAGAATGAGTAGTACCGTGGCTTGGTGGGCTACATATGTCATCAGATGTGGACACATAATATGGTGGATTTTTTGTGATTTCTGTAGGAACAGTCCTGTCTGGATGAAGCGCGATTTACGAAATGAAATATAATGGTGGGTGAAGGTACGCGAATATCTGGAATCCTTCCTGGAGCAATGGCGGGCGTGTGTTGGACACTTAACTTCACAGAAGTGTCCGTGCTAGTATATATGGTTCGGGTCATCGTCAACGAGGCGCCTCACAGTTGTATTAAGTGACTGATGTAATTACTGTTATTCCATTTATGGTGGATAACGTTACGGCTCATCTGGAGGCGGCCTCGGATGCAGAGGTGAGGTACCAACTTGATGCACGGTATCAAGGACACGGAAATACAATCGTGAGATCATGCATTGTCGATTGGCTGGGAAAAACTGTCTTATGCACTTCGGAACACGAAGACTGGTGCTACCCCGGGATTGTATGTTCTTCCAGCAGAATTACGTTGCGCTCTGACCTGATGTACAAGGTATGTTGATTCGTTTGTCTAACTGGATGTTGGATGCTCAGTGTCTCAGCGTTTGTCAGGCAACGTTTAATTTTTTTGTGATGCAGAAACACTGGAGGCTAAGACATGTGGGGACATTAACGCACTTGTGCAGAAGTGACCCTAGCGGGTCTAACGCTTTTTTCATTATAATAATCTTGTGCAAAATATAAACTTTTTGCAAGGGTCCTGACCACCCAGCCTCAGCGGTTTCTCTCGTGTTTGATTTCTGTTGCCCAGTATGTAGTGTCTAAAATATAACTAAATACTTGCACTCTTTCTCCACTAGTCTGGTGGTATTGTTTGGAACGATTTAAGGCTCACTCACGCTCTTTTGAAGGCTATGAAAACTATTTATCGACATGTGTAGAGAATTTGTGTTAGTGACAACCACTCGGTGGTGTGGCTGGCCAGAGATCTCTACATCGGGAATATTTCTGTCCATATTTGATGGAGGTAAAGGGCTGGTGTGAGAAAGTTTTATATGAAGTTTGTGGGATTCCGAGGTCAATTACCCTAATGTTCTCCATGCTCTTTTTTTATATAGATGCTTGCTTGTAGCAGAAGAGTATCAGACGGACACCTGGACAAGTGGTTGTGTAGTACGTAGTGATGTGGTTACACTGTGGGACTTTGTGTAAGGCAAGATTTCACCTACTCATCAGCGGACTCCTGGCGAGAACCCAGGAGCTATGCATCATCTATTGTGATGGCTAGTTCATGCTCGTCACAGAGGAGTTTGGTGGACTGATTAGGGCCACTTTGAGGTCTAGGAAGCACCCGTCTTGCGTCTGGCTCCAGACCCGCCGTCGTAGCCCCACAGAAACTGAGCAGCAGTAGTGGCTAGAAATGATGCCTTTGGTGCTGTGTGAACCAAGACTGAGGTTAGAGAGGCGTCATGGATGCCATGATGGTGGCGGCTTTATTTTCCTGTCCCATGTACTCTATTTTGATATGCTAAATAAGAAAAATAAAAATATCTTTAGAGTTGCAATACTTTCCTAATTATTTAACCTGACGTCTTCCCCAGAACCATAATTGACCAAAACAAAAAAATACTGACCCTTTCAAGGTAACAATTTTGACCTGAAATTTTGGATATATTTAATACTGTCAGAAGCCCTGAACTGCTTTTTCTTAGGCCCAATAACTTTTTAAATCCATCAATTTCACTCCTCTAAAGTATATAAATTCTGTTATTTATAACCCAAGGAAAAAAATCAGACTGGACAAACGTACTTGGTGTAGAGGTAGACAATACTAGTAACTCGTTTAATACAAACTAGACTGGTTAATATAGGCAGCAGAGACGATGGTCAGTACAACTTACTCGCTGTCTTGAAGGTGTGGGTAGACAGAGCACTCTTGAAGCTCTGTTTACTGCGCACTGATTGTCTCAAGTGATGTTGTGAAGGATACACACCATCCACCACCGCTGCTCCGTTAGTACCATCAACCACACAAACTGGAACCAGAACGACCAGGTAAACACAGCCTCGCAGGACTACAATCTTCGGTACAGTTACAGCTTCGCAGTTATAGCAAGATAACCATAAAATACAAAAATAATAGAGCAAATAGTTGGGTTTTAAAAATTCAATGCTTTGAAATACAAGAACATTTATAAGTATTACAAAATGTATAAAGTTTGTGAATGGATGTTGACTTATTTAGTGTGAAGCATGCAAGTTCAGTCGAGTCTACAGCAGACCAGTAAAATCAAAATATAATTTATTTACACATCTGTCTTGTGGTGAGTTGCAGGTCACCAAAAATCTGCATTTAGCACACGAACCTTAGAACAACGTTTCGGTCCGTAATGGACCATTGTCAAGTGATCCAGGACAGACCGAAACGTCTTCAAAAGCTTCCGAAAAGCAGATTAATTAGTGACTTGTTCCAGCCACGGTACTGTGGCTTCTTATTGTTTGTGATAAACTTGATAAATTAGACACATTTGCAACTCTTGGGTATCTTTATTGAGGAAACGTTTCGCCACACAGTGGCTTCATCAGTCCATACGTAGGAGAAACTTGAAGAACAGGAGGAGAATGAGGTAATCAGTCCCTCAACCTTGAGTCGATGTGTTCAGTCGGTTCTCTGAACCATTCATTGTGATAAACTTATTTAAGTCTAGTATGTATCTACGCACCGCTGCCTGTAAATAAAGAAAAAAAGCAGTGCCATAAAAGTCAGACACCTTAAATAAAGTGCCAAATCTGACCTAACACGAAGCCAGCGAAAAGAAAATCACTGAATTAAACCAAAAAAAAAATTAAAGGAAGGGAATTTTAAAACGCTAATACTATCAACCTGATCAACCGTACAGGTACGATACCTGGTTTGTGCCAGGGTAGTGGATTGGTGGTGAGGAGGAAGAGGTAGAGGACAGCAGCTGGCACCAGTGCCACCAGTGGCACTAACCACACTCCCACCCAGCCTCTAGCGCCACTCTGAAACATACCATCGGTGTAAATGATTTTAGAAAACACAAGACAAGTTGATAAATGAGAACACTAGTAGCCGCATGTTGCACATGTCTCTTGTTAATCAACATGACGTCGACATGACCTACGCAACATAACATCAACATGACCTACGCAACATAACATCAATATAGCCTACGCAACATAACATCAGCATAACCTACGCAACATAACATCAACATGACCTACGCAACATAACATCAACATGACCTACACAACATAACATCAACATGACCTACGCAACATAACATCAACATGACCTACACAACATAACATCAACATAACCTACGCAACATAACATCAACATAACCTACGCAACATAACATCAACATGACCTACGCAACATGAACATCAAAATGGTATACAATACCGACAGGTTGTTAGGTAAGACACATAGGCAACAGTTAGACAACTTTATTCCGAAACGTTTCGCCTACACAGTAGGCTTCTTCAGTCGAATACAGAAAGTAGGCAGGAACAGTAGAGATGTGAAGACGATGTAATCAGTCCATCACCCTTGTAGTCGTAGAATTTGAGGTTGTCAGTCCCTCAGCCTGGAGAAGTTCAGTTCCATAGTCAGGAACTATCTGAAGATCAAGCGACAGTGCGGAGACTTAAATACTGTCGGAAGGAGAGGTGCAGAGTAGTAGATTACATCGTCTTCACATCTCTACTGTTCCTGCCTACTTTCTGTATTCGACTGAAGAAGCCTACTGTGTAGGCGAAACGTTTCGGAATAAAGTTGTCTAACTGTTGCATATGTATCTTACCTAACAACCTGTCGGTATTGTATACCATTTTGATGTTCATCTTGTCAGACACTGCAACACATGGCATCTTGGTACAGAAAACACCTTGGACAAGCTTTTCAAGTGAGAAGTGTTGGATCTGAGAGGGACATGACCTCTCAGTGGCTACATTCTCACTACTACTACTACTACTACTACTACTACTCTGCACCTCTCCTTCCGACAGTATTTAAGTCTCCGCACTGTCGCTTGATCTTCAGATAGTTCCTGACTATGGAACTGAACTTCTCCAGGCCGAGGGACTGACAACCTCAAATTCTACGACTACAAGGGTGATGGACTGATTACATCGTCTTCACATCTCTACTGTTCCTGCCTACTTTCTGTATTCGACTGAAGAAGCCTACTGTGTAGGCGAAACGTTTCGGAATAAAGTTGTCTAACTGTTGCATATGTGTCTTACCTAACAACCTACGCAACATAACATCAACATGACCTACGCAACATAACATCAACATAACCTACGCAACATAACATCAACATAACCTACGCAACATAACATCAACATAACCTACGCAACATAACATCAACATGACCTACGCAACATAACATCAACATGACCTACGCAACATAACATCAACATAACCTACGCAACATAACATCAACATGACCTACGCAACATAACATCAACATGACCTACGCAACATAACATCAACATGACCTACGCAACATAACATCAACATGACCTACGCAACATAACATCAACATAACCTACGCAACATAACATCAACATAACCTACGCAACATAACATCAACATAACCTACGCAACATAACATCAACATGACCTACGCAACATAACATCAACATGACCTACGCAACATAACATCAACATGACCTACACAACATAACATCAACATGACCTACGCAACATAACGTCAACATGACCTACGCAACATAACATCAACATAGCCTACGCAACATAACATCAACATAGCCTACGCAACATAACATTACCTACACATTATAATGCAGACCTACCAACTACCTTTTTTTAAAACCTACGAGAAAAAAAATAAGTTTAAACCATTAAGTTGTGGTGAACATTAAAACGAGAGAATTTCCATTAAACAAGCCAAGTTTTCACCTGGTGAGTGACTTGCTCCACCAAGCAACAACATTACCAAACTGATTTAAAATGCTAATTCTGGTTAAGATAATTTAGAGTAATTAGTATTACTTCTGGCTAAAATTATTATTATTAATGCTGACTGTGACTAAAATTATTATTAATGCTGATTCTGGCTAAGACAAACTAATCTGTCTTCTGAACAAGTATGTGACGTGTTTAGCTGTGTTGTGAGACGATATTCATGTTGGGAACAACGCGTGTAGTTCCTCGGGAAGCGCTAAACCCGTGGGGATTATACGATGTCTCGGGAAATGAGAGAGAAATATATATGCCAATCCACGCCTGTTAGTACTGGCTATCAGCATCAGGGAGCTGATAGCAGCTGTCCTAACTGCTGCTTTACGTTTACAGTCTCACCTGAGCTAGGGCTGTCAGCACCAGAGGGCTGACAGCAGCTGTTGCTATGCCAACCACATCGAAGACTTGGTTGATGTTGCTGGCGTCTCCTGGTGCCACATCATCCATGTTGAGTGTGTAGCCCACTCTGGTGGTGCCCAGACCCAGGCCGGCACTGGTGGCACTGCACACGAGGGCCAGGGTAGTGTCCAGACCCACCGTGGCCAGCACCACTACGCACACCAACACTATCACGAACCCTGACAAGCAATAACATGAATTAGGCTCACGTTAAACACTTACCAATCTAATTCTAGGGAAAGAAATGTTGTATACTGGTAAAATCATTTCTTTGCGTCGCGTCACTGCGCCGCAAGATTGCATCACATCAGTGTGCAGCATCCCACGGGAGCATCAGTGAGAATTATCCCACTTGGTAACGCACCTATACTGGTTCCATATCTTCGTTAATGATTTTGGTATCATAAAACATATTATTTGTCTACTGTCATCCAGAGTGATGTTTATCTAATCTTCTTAAAGTACAGATATCAATGTATAAAGAAAATGCCATACTGCAGTACTGGTTTAAGAACTAACTCATACCCTGGTTGTGGTCAGAGTACTGGAGCTCCGAGACAATTTTAGTTCACGTCTTAAGGAAAGGAGATGAGGCTGTGGGGGGAGGGAGAGAAATAGTGAAGCTGGGAGGAGAGTTGGTGAAGCTGGGGGGAGAGTTGGTGAGGCTGGGAGGAAAGTTGGTGAAGCTGGGGGGAGAGTTGGTGAAGCTGGGGGGAGAGTTGGTGAGGCTGGGGGAGAGTTGGTGAGGCTGGGAGGAGAGTTGGTGAGGCTGGGGGGGAGAGTTGGTGAAGCTGGGGGAGAGTTGGTGAGGCTGGGAGGAAAGTTGGTGAAGCTGGGGGGAGAGTTGGTGAGGCTGGGGGGAAGAGTTGGTGAAGCTGGGGGAAGAGTTGGTGAAGCTGGGGGGAGAGTTGGTGAAGCTGGGGGGAGAGTTGGTGAGGCTAGGGGGAGAGTTGGTGAGGCTGGGAGGAGAGTTGGTGAGGCTGGGGGGGAGAGTTGGTGAAGCTGGGGGGAGAGTTGGTGAGGCTGGGGGGAGAGTTGGTGAAGCTGGGGGGAAGAGTTGGTGAAGCTGGGGGGAGAGTTGGTGAGGCTGGGAGGAAAGTTGGTGAAGCTGGGGGGAGAGTTGGTGAAGCTGGGGGGAGAGTTGGTGAGGCTGGGGGGAGAGTTGGTGAGGCTGGGAGGAGAGTTGGTGAGGCTGGGGGGGAGAGTTGGTGAAGCTGGGGGGAGAGTTGGTGAGGCTGGGGGAGAGTTGGTGAAGCTGGGGGGAGAGTTGGTGAGGCTGGGGGGAAGAGTTGGTGAAGCTGGGGGAAGAGTTGGTGAAGCTGGGGGAAGAGTTGGTGAAGCTGGGGGGAGAGTTGGTGAAGCTGGGGGGAGAGTTGGTGAAGCTGGGGGAAGAGTTGGTGAAGCTGGGGGGAGAGTTGGTGAAGCTGGGGGGAGAGTTGGTGAAGCTGGGGGGAGAGTTGGTGAAGCTGGGGGGAGAGTTGGTGAAGCTGGGGGGAAGAGTTGGTGAAGCTGGGGGGAGAGTTGGTGAAGCTGGGGGGAGAGTTGGTGAAGCTGGGGGAAGAGTTGGTGAAGCTGGGGGGAGAGTTGGTGAAGCTGGGGGGAGAGTTGGTGAGGCTGGGGGGGAGAGTTGGTGAAGCTGGGGGGAGAGTTGGTGAGGCTGGGGGAAGAGTTGGTGAAGCTGGGGGGAGAGTTGGTGAGGCTGGGGGGGGAGAGTTGGTGAAGTTGTAAAAATTATCATAGTTCCTAACATAGGTTAGGGTTTGTTAGAAAGTTTTAGCTGAGTCTACACGTAAATTGGGGCACTTGATGCGAGGAGGTCCGGTTAAACAAGTGTGTCGGAGTGTTGAACATGTTGCAAGTGTATTCCGCGTGCTCTGAAGGCCAGTAACAATATATAAACAACTTAAAACTACGCGAGACATGACTGCGAGGGAGAAGACATCGGTTATTTAATCAACCAAGGAGACCTGGTGAACTTCCAAACATTTCCAACGTGTTGACAGGTTAGGTTAGGTAAGTCAGGAAACAGAACAAGTGTTTTCTGACGCGGGTCATGATGACTCGCAGCTGCAGCTTTTGGTCATCCGACAGAGATCTTCCGCTGGCTTATCCCTCCACCCCTTGAAAAATTAAAGTTATATGATAATATAAATACATGTTGACATAAAATATTATACGAGTAACAGACGACGTTTCGATCCATTCTGAATATAAATAATAGTCCAGGACGAGCCTAAAAGTCATCTAAAGTTTCATGGTTACAATACCGGTTATTTGTGAATTGTTCCAAATATTGTTCCAGCAACGGTAGTCTAGGTAACAGACTTGTAGTGGCCCGGTGGCCTGGTGGCTAAAGCTCCCGCTTCACACACGGAGGGCCCGGGTTCGATTCCCGGCGGGTGGAAACATTTCGACACGTTTCCTAACACCTGTTGTCCTGTTCACCTAGCAGCAAATAGGTACCTGGGTGTTAGTCGACTGGTGTGGGTCGCATCCTGGGGGACAAGATTAAGGACCCCAATGGAAATAAGTTAGTCCTCGATGACGCACTGACTTTCTTGGGTTATCCTGGGTGGCTAACCCTCCGGGGTTAAAAATCCGAACGAAATCTTATCTTATCTTAACACTTACCAGTGACCACGGGAAAGCGACGACGATTAAGAGCTGAGGTGCGACCTTCTCCCAGCAAGAGGTGGAAGCCTCGACACAAGACAATACTCAGCATGACAGCCATCACGGGAGCCACCAGCATCCACAAGCCTCGCTGCCAACAATCATATTCAGTTGAATAACTAAAGTATCATAAACACTTGTCAATGCACAGTAGTAACCCACGTAGAGACAAACTCGGGACATTAATACATTTGTATATTTCGACCCCTTTCTGGGATCATCTTCTGTTGAAGAGGATCCCAGAACGTGGTCGAAATATACAGATCAATTAATCTCCCGAGTTTCTGTATCCACGGGGGTTATTATTGAGCATATATGTAAACTGGTCGGTAATAGTATCCCACCTCTCTAGAAATATTGTAATCTAATCACTACAGATAAAATGCCTCGCGCATCAATACATATATATGCATATATATATATATATATATATATATATATATATAATATATATATATATATATATATATATATATATATATATATATATATATATATATATATATATATATATATATATATATATATATTATATATATAATATATATATATATATATATAATATATATATATATATATATATATATATATATATATATATATATATTATATATATATATATATAATATATATATATATATATATATATATATATATATATATATATATATATATATGTATAGGGAGGTACCACCTCTATAACTGGAATGGGGACCCTCATCCTCAGAGAAGACAATAAACGTACCTCAGGGAAAACTCAAGGTTCTCCCCGGAGCTGTTTGAATATTTTCTTCTCCTACCACCCCCTATATATTTTATATTCTATGTGAACATTTATTGATAAACAGAATACATGTGCAGAAAAACACAAACATGAATACAATGGTACACTGTATTAAAGATCATGAATTTCCTCCAGCTCCTCCGAAGCCGGACGCGAGCCAAGTATGCAGCAAGTATTTCCCCTCTGGATGGCTATGCTGAGGCGCTGGAACATGAAAGTGGCTGCCCTTGGGTCCCTGGTGGTGTCGATGAGTCTGGAACCCAATTCTTTAAGGAAACGTGTGGCATTTTTTCCCCATGATCCCAAGGTCTCTGATCCCACTGGGACAAATTGATACTGTTGGCTTATGTCCCTGTACTTGTTGATCTTGTACTCCTCCCTGTGGTCAGCAGCTCCTCCCTGTCGCCCCACACTGTGATGGATATAGGTGTCAGCCATTTTGGACACACAGGTATAGTCCCGTGCTAAGAGCTTGCCATTCTTCCAAGGATAGATGGTGATCCCGTCGGGGCGGTTTGCTGGGTTGTGGGTATTGTTGGCTGCTAGTGATCGGGGCTCTCTCTCGGCTGGGCATCCAGCTGTAGCAAGGGCTCTCTTTATGATGTCGTTGACCTCATTGTGTCTTGCATGCCAGCCCTTGGTTTTCGAACAGTTAAGATCATGTAGACCGTATTGGTCTGCTTGTGCTTCACCGCAAATACACACATATTCTGTGTGAACTGGGGCAGCAAGGCGCAGAGCCACTGCAATACGGATCTTAGGGTCGAGTCGCGTTCCCATTGCCGATATGGGAACTGTTTGGAGGAAGTCCCCGGAGTGAGGTGCGCTCACAGCCTGGAGACGGGCAGTCTCCCTATCTGACGTTGCAACCCTGAGCATGTTGGCAAGCACCTTTTCAGCGATCGAGCCATCCCAGCTTGACTGTTTGTGAGCCATTGCTGCACTAGGGTTTGGTGCTGGAGCAGCAAGAGTCTCTCATTCAGTGATGGCACTGGCATAGCTAGGGTCCTGTATTTCTGCTGAGTCACTGAGGTTATTATTATATATATATATATATATATATATATATTATATATATATATATATATATTATATATATATATATATATATATATATATATATATATATATATATATATATATATATATATATATATATATATAATGGATAAAAAGGCTTCAAGGAAGAATATTTGGATTTCTTCCTGAAGCCGTTTGAATATTCCACTTCCCCTACCACCCCATCTTTTTATATATATTTTTTTTACCAATAGGAATATTTTATTACATAATATGGTACAGAAGATTTAAGAGATAAATTGTTGATATAAAGGTGGCATATACGGTACATGTTGTTACGTGTGTATCACCGATTATAAGGCGAAAATCTCATCCAGCTCCTCAGAGCTGGGTCGTGTGCCCAAAATACAGCAGACATTACCCCTTTGAACAGCCGCACTGAGCCGCTGGAACAGAAAACTAGCTGCCCTGGGATCCCTAGTTACCCTGATGAGTCTTTTTTTCCAGCTCCTAAGGAATTTAGATGTACTCTTTCCCCAGAGCCAAGGGTTCTGAGCCTATGGAACAAACATATAATGATGGCAAGTAAAAATATATATAATATTATATATATATATATATATATATATAATATATTAATATATATATATATATATATATATATATATATATATATAATATATATATATATAATATATATATTTATATATATATGACGATAATAAGTAATGAGTATTTTTTTACTCTTAAAAATATTTGTATTACAAAAAGGCTGACCTTATTACTAACATTGTTACTCACCAACATTATTACTAACATTGACTTTACTCACCAACATTATTACTAACATTGTTACTCACCAACATTATTACTAACATTGTTACTCACCTAACATTAATTACTAACATTGTTACCTCACCAACATTATTACTAACATTGTTACTCACCAACATTATTACTAACATTGTTACTCACCAACATTATTACTAACATTGTTACTCACCAACATTATTACTAACATTGTTACTCACCAACATTATTACTAACATTGTTACCACCAACATTATTACTAACATTGTTACTACACCTAAATATTACTAACATGTTTACTACATTACATATTAACTAGACATTGTTACTCACAACATTAATATAAACATTGTTACCAATAAGATATATTACTAACATGTTATCACCAATTATACTAAATGTTACTAACAACGACGCAACAAAGAGTAAATAAAAAAACTTGTAAACATTATAACAGTTAAAATAAAAAGATTTTAATGAGTTAATTATAGACGGAGGACGACGTATACTGAAAGAATACAGAGAGAAAGATAAAATGGTAAGAAATGATAATAAGTTAAAAGTAGAGTAAGAATATGAAGAAGTAATAACAGAAGTAAAGAATGAAATATAAGAAGATAGTATGAGAAGTTAAGAAAAAGTAAGAGAATAATGTACACGAAGAATATTGAATAGAATAATGGACGACATGATTGACATGAAGTTACACCGAAATGATTACACATGAAGTTACACATTGATCACATGTACACCTGGTGAGAACTGAATATAACATGGTTTAGACACACTGAGAATGTACACCAGTAAGTGATAATGACACCATATAGTGAACTGAGATTAACACACTTTACTGTGTGAAATAATAAATTGAACCAATTTATAACATATATTACATGATAAACTATGAACTAAGTGTTTGGACACGAAGATTCTGACACAAAGTTATTAATGAGTGTTGAATGATGTGACACCTGAGTGTGACACCTGAGTGTGACACTGAGTGTGACACCAGAGTGTGACACCTGAGTTGACACCTGAGACATGTGACACTGAGTGTGAACACCTGAGTGTGACAACCTGAGTGTGACACCTGAGTGTGACACCTGAGTGTGACACTGAGTGTGACAACCTAGTGTGACACCTGAGTGTGACACCTGAGTGTGACACCTGAGTGTGACACTCAGTGTGACACCAATACAACGTGTGACAACTCAGTGTGACACCTAGTGTGACACCTGAGTGTGACACCTAGTGTGACACCTCAGTGTGACACCTGTGTGACACTGAGTGTGACACCTCAGTGTGACACCTCAGTGTGACACCTCAGTGTGACACCTGAGTGTGACACCTAGTGTGACACTAGTGTGACACCTCAGTGTGACACCTCAGTGTGACACCTCAGTGTGACATCCGAGTGTGACACCTGAGTGTGACACCTGAGTGTGACACTAGTGTGACACCTAGTGTGACACCTCAGTGTGACACCTCAGTGTGACACCTCAGTGACACCTGAGTGTGACACCTAGTGTGACACCTGAGTGTGACACCTGAGTGTGACACCTGAGTGTGACAACTGAGTGTGACACCTGAGTGTGACACCTGAGTGTGACACGTGTGACACTGAGTGTGACACCTCAGTGTGACACCTAGTGTGACACCTGCAGTGTGACACCTGAGTGTGACACCTGAGTGTGACACCTGAGTGTGACACCTGAGTGTGACACCTGAGTGTGGACACCTGAGTGTGACACCTGAGTGTGACACCTAGTGTGACACCTGAGTGTGACACCTGAGTGTGACACCTGAGTGTTGACACCTGAGTGTGACACCTGAGTGTGACACCTGAGTGTGACACCTGAGTGTGACACCTGAGTGTGACACCTGAGTGTGACACCTAGTGTGACACCTGAGTGTGACACCTCAGTGTGACACCTCAGTGTGACACCTCAGTGTGACACCTCAGTGTGACACCTCAGTGTGACACCTCAGTGTGACACCTGAGTGTGACACCTGAGTGTGACACCTGAGTGTGACACCTGAGTGTGACACCTGAGTGTGACACCTGAGTGTGACACCTGAGTGTGACACCTCAGTGTGACACCTCAGTGTGACACCTCAGTGTGACACCTCAGTGATGACACCTGAGTGTGACACCTGAGTGTGACACCTGAGTGTGACACCTAGTGTGACACCTCAGTGTGACACCTCAGTGTGACACCTCAGTGTGACACCTCAGTGGACACCTAGTGTGACACCTGAGTTGACACCTGAGTGTGACACCTGAGTGTGACACCTCGAGTGGTGGACACCTCAGTGTGACACCTGAGTGTGACACCATGCATGTGTGACACCTGCAGTGTGACACCTGAGTGTGACACCATGTGACCTCAGTGTGACACCTAGTGTGACACCTAGTGTGACACCTGAGTGTGACACCTGAGTGTGACACCTGAGTGTGACACCTGAGTGTGACACCT